TGCGTTCCAGACCATCTGCAACAGTGGATTTGCCAACGCCTAGCTTTTCTGCAATCTCTCGAACTGTTTGGGATGGGTCAGCCTCCAAAATCCAAATCCTCGTCAGGTATTGCTTTAGGTCGACCGCTACGAGGTTCATCTTCAAGGCTGAAATCTCCAGAACGAAATTTGTCGAACCATTGTCGCACGGTGCTTTCTCCAACTATTGGGCCCCCACACCTGGTTAATTTGTCGAGCTGTCTCGACTGCGGATTGACCCAATTTTTGAAGAAAAATATCGTCCGAAGTTGCTCTTTTGACATGCTTCAAAAAGTCTTGGGAAAAGGGGGTTTATCAAGCAATGGTGAAACGGCAATTATACCATCAGATAGCGCAAATTCTTCAGGATGTACTACTGAGACGCAAGGGAGAATGAGTTTTTAATCAGCAATGAATGTACAAAAAATAGTAACACAAAACGCTGAGAACTTTCCGGACAATCCTAATAAGAAAATGGAGTTTCTGCCTGGAATAGTGGCGCCACTTCAGATAAGTGGATGTATGCTTAGCGGTCGGATTTGTCACTGCTGATAAGGGCGAACCGTGGGTGGGAATGAGCCGTTCATCAAATGCAGACAGCCGCACTGGTCTTATTCGAATTTTGTGTCCTCCATTAGTGAATTTCGTTGTGTTGTTGTTGTGCAATGAGTTTCGCATGCGAACCTATCAGCTTTCATCTGTGATTATCATGTCGTCTCACCGACTGCGTCTCCCCGTCTCATCGCTTATATCACTTCGGGAACCAACAGGCCAATTATCAGACATAAACTTACACCCCCTTGTCACTCACCAACAAACTTCCTGTCCTGCCCTTCATATTGCTTCTCTGAACCAACGTCCAACTGCTGCAGCGAACCGAGTTATGGGTCTCGTGGAAGACAGGAGGACAGACAGTCAGACAGTCCAACAGGCAGAGACAGACAATTAGACAGACAGACAGGCAGACAGACAGACAGACTGACTGACTTACTGACTGACAAGCAGACAGACAGACAGGTAAACAGCTAGATAGACAGTCAGACGCATATAGACTTGGCGGGTTGTATAAAGTAAGGTTCCTCTGGATGCTTTATCTAGGTTGAAGAATGTTTTTTTAGATTCTTGATCACATCGAGACGATCAGTGCGGAGTGGCGAAGGCGCGAAGAGGAGTTAGCGAGAAGAAGAGATCGAATGTATTCGACACGCCTAAGGCAAGAAAACATTGCTCGTCATGCCATTGAACAAGTTGCGAATGGAACTTTGGGGCATTTCTCTAGTGAGTGCTCCTTCCTCTAAAAACTTCCTTGGCTGTTTTTTTTTTGTTTCCGAACAGTATTCGCAGACATAACTGGAAAAAAAGGTACTCAGGATGCTGCTGCAGATATCGGGCGTACGACAGTAAGAAGGGTCCAGCTTTTGCACATGTGGAAGCTCATACTTTTTTGAGAGATTGAAAATGTTGTGGTCATAGTCGCAGTTATTACGAAAGAGTAGGCCAAGAAGAGAGTTGAGCGTTTGAAGTTATAGATACTTTTCTTCCCATCAAAAAGTTTGTTTAAGCTATGCGAAAAGTCTGAATTTGCCTCATCATGACCACTTTGCAGTCTTATGCAAGCTCGTGCGTACTGTGAGTTGCAGTCGCTTTCTGAGGCGCTCAGATGTTCCATACGTGCCAAGGCAAGCCGCTACAACAATCAAACTTCTACGTTTCTACTGATTTGAACCACTCCTTTTTCATGTCTCAGCTCCTCCGTTTAAGAGAAACTGTACACTCACCTCCATGAATCATGGATCTGTCACGTGTAAGGTAAATAGATCCGCAGCTGCAGTAACGGGTCTCTTTTTCGGTAAATCCACGGAAATGAGGATAGATGGTAGTGTAGCACGAGTACTCCGTCCGCGCTGCTGCACGGTTTTAACCTTGTGTATAACCATGCTTGTCTGCGTCCTCTCACTTCTAGTTGCTCTTCACCGCTGAATGATCTTGGTATCGACGCAATTGCTGCACCTTGAAAACAGCGCGGGCGGAGTGTGGAGATGGCACCCGGGTACCTCTATCCTCACGCCCCGTTCTCGTGCGCTATTTAGCGGGGAAGGTGAGACGCTGTTGCAGTCCGGACTATCTTTTCACACTTGGCAAAGACCGTCCTAGGAGCTGTGTGTACAGCTCATCATTCATGTAATTCTGAAGATAATGTTTTTTCAACCATTACTTAATTCTGCACTTCGCTAGCATGGTAATGTGCTTTGCAGTGTGTTCGGAATCGCCAGATGGTATGCCTGTTGATGGAGATGGGCATGTCCACCCCCCTGAAACGGTTAAAGAGCAACGGTTCAAGTCGTGCAGCTTATGCGGAATGTTGATTGATGCTGAAAGTTCTGCCGCGATGGAGAGCCATTTGCGTGCACACAAGAAAAACGATGATCTCAAACTCAAACTTCTTGCACGCTATGGACCCGAGGTAATTGTCACGTTCAGGCACTTTGAAGCATATTATACCACCTTTTCAAGATGCAATAGTCCTTCAAAACTCATTATTTGAATGATCTCGCTTGTTTGAATCACAAGTTTTTCACGTATTTAAGGAAGTGGGAAGACTGATGTGTCGCGATTGCAATATGGTGTTTGGAGATGAAAGCATACTCATTATGCATAACGAGCAGATGCATGTTAGGAGAAGAAAGTGCGTCATTTTTTTCTTTTGGGGTTGGGAGCTATGGTGTAGTTTGCTAAAGACGAAGGGGCGCGTCAGGGGAATGAGTATGGCTCGGTGCCAAATCTTCTCCACCAGCTGTTGGAACGAGCAAGTGTCAAAACTGTATCATATAGTCCTTATCACTCGTTTTGTACCAATTTTTGTACCAACAGCTGCTTCAGCAACTGGCAGAGAACGGGATTCGCGTCGTGGCACATCCATGCTGCCTGACACACCCCCTCACCCGCAGCGAACTAGACTATAGCTCTTCTGTATTTCGCGCGGCTTTTGAGACTCAGTCAGTTTGCAGATACGTTTGTAAGTGGTGTGGTCACGTGGCCTATACAATGACGGAACTGAATGTGCACAAAGCTGATGTTCATGCAATGCCTCCATTCACCGTCAAGTCTGACAGAGATAGGGTAAGCGCCGTTTCGATTTGGCGCAGTCTCCAGAGCATCGTTCACACATCCTTTGATCTAGGCAGTTTTTCAAGATTTTCAACCTCTAAGATAGGATTGCTGGCAACCATTTTTTAAGATAATGAGAAAGCGGCAACTCTATGGTCGTGGTTTAATTGCACTTGGTTCCCATCCCAGACGAACTGAAATAGAAGATAGGCACGGCCCTGCTAGTTCGTGTGCTAACGATTTAGTATTCAGGTTAGTGGATAGCGTGGTCATTTTTCTTCTTGTATTTTAAACATTTTGGCCTGGGAAGAAGCTTTTTCTTCTCTTTTTTCTTCTATGGAGCTGCGGATGCGGTTTATAGAAGTATCTGGTTTATCTGGGTTTGCTTAGTTGAGCTATACAGTGCGTAACAAAAGTATGTGGACACCTCAAAATTTTTGTCCTGCAAAATTGCCTTTGAATTTTGCGATATGAGACCTTTATTGTTGAATTCCTCATAAGCGAAAACATAGGAATACACTACTTCTGAGCACTTTGTGAACTACTGTACAATTATTTATTGTTTTGAAAAAGTTTCTTAATAACAAAAGTATGTGGACACTTAACAAAAAACAAATGTATCGTGGAAAATAGAAGTTGGTTCTTCCTCCAGCGTTCACTATTACTTCGAACATTCTGTCTGGCATGCTGTGGACAAGATTTGTCATGGTGTCTTCGTCGATTTCCTCCCATGCAGCAACTACCGCCTCCTTCAAGTCTCGCACGCTGTTGTACTGCCGACTGTTCATGTAGATTCGTCGAACCATGATCCCCACAGGATTTCGGTTGGGTTGCAGTCAGGAGAACACGCCGGCCAATCAATCACTTTGATACCATTGCGTTGGAGCCATTTTCTAGTAGAATTTGAAACATGCACGGCCGTGTTCTCCTGCTGCATCACATGTGTCCTGCATCGTGGCCCGCAGAAAAGGCAAGAGGTTAGACTCAAGCACTCCTTGGTATTCCTGACTGTCAGCACGATGGAAAGGCAAGCTCCAACTTTCCTCTGCTTCCAAAACCACCCCGTACCATCAAAGAGGCGCCTCCGAAATTTCGTCTCGAGAACATCAACGGATCGCTACAAAGGTCTTTCCAGTAATGCTGATATCCATCTGGACCGTCGAGATTGACTTTTTCTTATCAGTGAAGATAACCTAAGAAAGAAATGCGCATAAGATGTTGCCTTTCTGATTTTACAAATATCTCAAGAAACTGCACCTTGTCCCACGACGTCGCCATGTTTGCACGCAAAGTTCAGTCTTGCCAGCTGGTGCTTGGCAGTCAGACAGGGAGCTTTCTTCATGGTCTCTCGAGTGATGTGCTCACTTGATCGAATAGAGCGCCATATTGTCATTTTTGAGACCGGTAGATTCATCGCGGCATGGATCTGTGCCACAGAAAGCGGGGAGTTTGAGGCCATTCTTCTGAGGTCTTCTGCGGACAAAGATCGTGGGTTCTTTGAAAGTACAGGAGTTCACAAAGTGCTCAGAAGTAGTGTACTTCCTATGTTTTCGCTTATGAGGAATTCAACAATAAAGGTCTCATATCGCAAAATTCAAAGGCAATTTTGCAGGACAAAAATTTGAGGTGTCCACATACTTTTGTTACGCACTGTATATAAAAAAACAAGCATAAAGCTTTCCGTTGATCAGTCTGTTTTTTGGACGGACAGCGTTTAGACATTGCGACTACTCGCGTCGACGCGCCACAACTGCAATATTGCTCCAATACATTATACAGGAACGCAGCCGCAGACGAGTATCGTTAGGCATCGGACGCTTGTATTGAGAGAGGGTGAAGAAAAATATGGGGGGGGTCCCAGATTGTTCGAAGACACTACCTACCATCATGTTATCCCATACTCTCAAAATAATAGCGGCCGACGCCGATCCATATTCATCAGCGGCGGCGTCCCCGTCTAGCACTGGAACGCCATCGCAGAAGTGGCGCGAAGTCTGAACGCTCCTCATCGACCACAAAGGATGGAAGGTTCAGTTGACTTGGGAGGAAGCTGATCCGTAACACAACTCTCGCTTGGTAAACGTGCCACTTGTCAATGCAATACCTCTGCCCGAACTATGTTGCAGCATATAGTGGATTTTCCCGAATAGTTATCGAAAATCTGGATCAGGATGTAGGACCAGTCTTACACAGTTGCCAGCTTCCTGCGTCTGTCTTAGGTTGTCCGGAAAGTTCTCAGCGTTTTGTGTTACTATTTTTTGTACATTCATTGCTGATTAAAAACTCATTCTCCCTTGCGTCTCAGTAGTACATCCTGAAGAGAATTTTTTGCGCTATCTGATGGTATAATTGCCGTTTCACCATTGCTTGATAAACCCCCTTTTCCCAAGACTTTTTGAAGCATGTCAAAAGAGCAACTTCGGACGATATTTTTCTTCAACTACAAATTGGGTCAATCCGCAGTCGAGACAGCTCGACAAATTAACCAGGTGTGGGGGCCCAATAGTGTTGGAGAAAGCACCGTGCGACAATGGTTCGACAAATTTCGTTCTGGAGATTTCAGCCTTGAAGATGAACCTCGTAGCGGTCGACCTAAAGCAATACCTGACGAGGATTTGAAGGCATTTGTGGAGGCTGACCCATCCCAAACAGTTCGAGAGATTGCAGAAAAGCTAGGCGTTGGCAAATCCACTGTTGCGGATGGTCTGAAACGCATTGGGAAGGTGAAAAAACTCGACAAGTGGGTGCCCCACAATTTGAGTGACCGGCAGAAATTGGCACGTCTCGAGGTTTCTTCTTCACTGCTTTTGCGCAACAGAAACGACCCGTTTTTGGACCGAATTGTCACCTGTGATGAAAAGTGGATCATGTATGATAACAGGAGACGTTACGGACAGTAGTTGGACGCCGACGAACCACCGAGGCAATTTCCAAAGCCGAATCTTCACCAAAAAAAGGTTATGGTCACAGTGTGGTGGTCATCGGCTGGTGTGATCCACTATAACTTTTTGTCACCAGGCCAAACCATCACAGCAGAGTCCTACTGTGAAGAAATCGACGAAATGTACCGAAAATTGCGTCAGCTGCAGCCAGCACTTGTCAACAGAAAGGGTCCGATTCTTTTGCATGACAACGCCCGCCCACACGTTTCACAAATCACTATCCATAAATTGAACGAATTGGGGGTTGAAGTTAAGCCCTCAGCCGCCCATACTCCAGGCCTTTCACCAACCGACTATCACCTTTTCAAACATTTTCAGAACTTCCTTGCTGGAAAATACATCAATCAGGACCAGGCAAAAAAGCCTTCGTGGATTTCGTGGATTCTCGACCACCCAGTTTTTTCTTTGATGGGATTTATCGACTGGTGTCACATTGGCAAAAGTGTGCTGATTCGAACGGTGCCTATTTCGATTAAATCCGATGAGTATTAAAAAAGTTATGATCGTTTAAAGTGAAACACTCAAAACGCTGAGAACTTTCCGGACAATCTAATAGTTTTAAAGACTTACGCTCATGGACCCTCCAGTTTGGTCTGACACACTTGTTCCGCGAAATTCAAATAAGTAGCAGGAGACTAGCATATGCTAACATGGAGATTTTCGTATAGTCATGCAAAAAATGACTTCTGTGAAAGTTACTGCTATTCACAGTAACTTCTCTTTTGAAATGTGAAATTTGTAAATTTTTCTACTTGTAGTCACTTTGCCGATGATGTTGCAGAACTACGTGTGAACAGTGTGGCCTTCGCCTCGTCCGGCCGTCACTTCTCGTCCGCCATATGCTACGAGTTCACTCGAAAAATGTCTTTTCTTGTGAGGTGAGCAGAATGCCGATGAATGGATGAATCCCGAAATCTTGCCCTCTATTGTCAGGTTCCATGCTCAGAAGGTGTCACTAATCCTTTTGTTTTCCAGATTGAAGCGCCTGGCTCTTGTAATTATCGTATAGATGTCGATTGTGAGCGCATTACATGGATATGCTGCGACATCCAGTTTTCTTCCAGGTGTGCTTAATAAAGTTCTCCCATACTGTTGGTAGTTGTCTGTGAGCTGCAGAGTCTTCTTCGCTGAAGGGCGTGTTTGCATGAAGGGGCGGGTCAGGGGCATAGGTCTGGCGTGGGGCCAAACCCGTTTTCTACAGTTGGAGCAAGCGACAATAGTTCCTTGTCGCATCTTCTTGTTGTTGCTTACTCGCTTCAACAACTGATGAAGAGCAGGTTTGGATCAGTGCTAAACTCATCAAGCCTGAAACGATCCTTCATCCGTAGCGAGCAAGACTGTTTAATATTTAAGAAGTCTTTCAGGCGCGAATTCCTTTCGCATCGAATGAACAGTCACCTTGAAAAGCTTGTCGACGGTGCTTCTATAGGCGAATACAATTCCTGCCAAAGTGCTAACCATCCGAGTGGATCACCAGGTACGTGCCTGTTGTGCGTTCCATGTTTTAATTTCGTCACTTCATAGTGGATTACTCCTCTAAAGCAGTAGTAGTAACTTATTACTCAGCATTTCCATCCCTTGCGCGTTACTATTTCCAAAACATTTTTCCCGAAAGTAACTTATCCACTGTTCCAGGCAGCAATCTTGATTCCGGTCCTGAGATTGGTATGGAGAATGCTGACGGCAGCTCTATATATTTAGACCAGATGCAGTCAACGTCGGGTGAAATTATGCAGGTTTGCGCAAGATACCATGACTAAGATCCATTGAGATTTCCACTCCCTTATCTGTACCGTCGCAGGTTGTTGTTCCTGAGGAGATCATGGGAGATGGCAGAGACTTCTTCGTTGTAATTGACAATAATGAGCATCTAAATGGTGAAGGCGTGACTGAGGTTCGCTTTTTTTATTTCGTTTTTTTCGCTTTTTGCTCCATGTTTCTTTGCCTCTGTTTCGTTTTCATTAATTTTTAATACTCTTTACCTTTACGAATTCAGCAGTTAAACAACGGTCAGCATCATCTGCAAATGCATTCCGATCAGAGGCTTTCGTCGTCTAATCTGTTGCAGGAGATTCTCGTTGATGAACACAATGAGGTGCTTATTTTGCTTCGTATTATCACGCAGTCATCTACTTCAGTTAATGGAAACAACGCTGAAATAAAATGCAACTTTTTCAGAATGGAGGAGAGTTTGTTGAAATTACTGCGGAGCAATATCAACAATTGCGGCTACAATACGGCGACAGTCTCGTCGACATGGTTCGTGAAATTTTTTGTCATAGATTTCTCGTACTTAAGTCTGGTGTTTTGCTGCGTGTGAAGGAAGCCTTTATCAGAGCTTCGGACCGGAAAATGTCGTAACTTACAAATATTGAAACCAAAATTGCTAACTGAATTTCTCAAGCGAATCATAAGCGCTTAGAGTCACCGAATGCATTTAAAAATGTCCTCTGGGCTTCGACAGGATCTTGGCTGAGCAGCAAGTAGCAGCTTGTGGAGCGGCTCTGCTTGATAGCTTATTTTTCTGTTTCTGATTTCTCATTTTCTAATGTTCATATCTGCAAAACTGCTTTCCCACTGACAGTCAGAGCAACTGAAAAGACAGCGCCGAAGCGCTCTGACTGTAGCCTACTGAAAGCTTTAGAACTCAAATCCTGTAGATGAGACGTGTTCTAGAGATAAGTTTATTGATAGGTGTCAAACCAGGCTTTCTCGGGCCCATCAGTCAGAAACCTCTGTTTGGAGTACAAAATGTAGGTACTGGGAATTTTGATATGATGTATGCGGAAAGGAGAAGCAGTGTACAGCATCGTGATGTGGGTGGTGTAGGTGCGACCCTCCCTTCCCCCCCCCCCCCCTTCCCCAGCCCCTACCCAAGTTCCCCACCACGTTTCTAGTTTTTCACCCAAAAATTCTCCGTCAAGCGGCGGGAGGGGGGAGGGTGGATGGAGGGGGGCATATAGTGCACATGAAACAGGAAATCACGCAAGAAGTCAACAACCCGAAAACCCATTTCTCTCAAAGGCACATACGACCTCTCTCTCTCCCAATGACCAAATACGACCCCTCTTTTCAGAGGAAAAGTATGACCCCCTCCTACGTGCTTCACACAACGATGCTGTACCCTGAGGATAAGGCGTAAGGGATTGATCAGTGGCAATATGAGGTACCTTTCCGTTGATCAATCCCTTTTCGGAATACGCCACTCATTTTACCCATTGGTTATTGATCATTCGGAATCGTAAGGGCCTGTTGAATGCGCCATGGGTTACAAAGAGGCCCAGCCGGTGCACAAGGTATACAAGACACTTTTTATGCTGCCCAGACGAGGTCAATTTACGGACCTCAGAGGCAGTGAGTTTCCGGCACAGTATTTGACCGCAGACCACGCGCGTAGTAGCCACTTCCTGCTAGACCATCTACCTCCATTAGCAATGATCAAGAAAGCTTGTGGAGCCTTTGTTTGAGTGAAATCTTCGAAGTGGAGGTACCGTGGTGGTTATGAACGCCTTGCTGTAGTGCCATGGATGAGATCCTGCTCAGGTTGTTACGTCGTTCCAATCAAGGAGTAAAATCTTATGGGAGGCATTTCAGGAGATTGTTGACTGTCCCTTGAAAGTCGCTATGTAGGGCCAATTTCGCTCAGCCTTCATGTTTTTGAGATGATCTGCATTTTCAGTCTAAATCTTGAACACTGATTAATCGCTTTCCCATATAATGCGCTACTTTCACTCACTTTGACTAGATGATATCAACTACTGCGAGATGTGATAGAGAGATTTGTGAGCTAGGGGTTGCACAGAGACCGCAGGGAGGTGTGACTGTGAGGGAGCGATTTTGTTTATGTTGTTCTGGAGGACGCTTCTTGCCTGTTTTCTTCTTTGGGAGATTACTTATCAGCTACTGTTTCATAATTGGAAAGCAGCTATCCATGAGACTTTTATCGCGGGAGCTGTCTTTAACAACACAATGGACTGCAGGCCCATACTGGACTAGCACCTGAACGGAACTTTATTGGTTGCCTGATATCCTCATTCTCTTGGCTGTTTCCGTGAATTAAGCTGTTTCCGTCAATTAAAGACAGCCCCAGCGCTCGAGCAACTCGTAAGCGTCCTTCCTTATGGAAGTGGTCCGGCCCTCAGCCTCCAAGAATCCCACTTTCACGTTTCCAGTGAGTGACGAAGACGCTATGGCCCTGCCAGTCCCGACGCCTCCCTATGTCCCGCCCACCAAAACTGGAAGGCTGCTTTCTGTCACGAGTTCGCTTCATCGCATTCAATAAGCCACTACGATTCTGAGTGGAAGTAGAATGCGTGCCGCATCCCACAAAGGGATTGATCAACGGCGAAGACTTTATCCTTTATTTTATGCCACTAACCACAATATGCAGTCGCGGGTTTGTTTTTGAAATACTGAACTAGCAACAACGTGAAAAGTCGCTCAACCAGTGAATGATGCCTTCAACTTCAATTCCTTGTCCGATTTTTCTATTCCCGAATGTTCAGTCTTATTGAATGATTTCGTTCTTCCCTTTTCAATGTTTTCCGTCCCAAGCTGATCAGTTCTAGTGAATAATCCCGTCAAATCTTCCCGTTTCTAATTGTTCCGTTTCTGTGTGTTATTGGGATCACCCGAGAACCACTTTTTTGTCTATTCGTTGTATTTCAGGTATGCAGTGCGAGCGTGAGCAGTGACAGCAGTAGCAAGCGGCCGAAGGAAATATCCGTACTGATGCTCCCCAATGACCTACTACCGCTATCTCCACGACCCATTCAACGTTTTGGGTCCGTCTTTTTCTGATCGCCTCTACTTCGCTATCCCTTCTCTATTCCACCACGGCTTCTGCACAAAGTGCACTCATCTATTGAGGAATGGAGGTCGCTGAGTCGTAGTCCCTTTCACTGTCCTCGACGATTGTTCTGTCTTTTGACTTAAACCTCAGTCTGTTGACTTTTTCTGTTCCTTACTCATCTGTTTCGTGTTATTTCTTCGGGTCCTATTTTCTCTAAACTATATCAGCATGTTTTACATAACGATTATGTACATACTGGAATCATATGATCATCGATTCAATGCCTGTGATAACGACAATCAATTTCGACTATTTTATTAGTATTAACGTTTAATGTAATGAATTTGTACAAATTGTATGTTATGTCCACTAAAGCATAGCACAATAATTGAATATTAATTACCCAATCAACCCGTATATGGGACCAAATAATCAACGAATCAAAAATGATTTTCAACGAAACACAGCAATATATCCTGAGAAGACGGAAGTAATGACGGTAACCCTGTGGCTGAACTTTCGAATCGATTTGGATCAACTGTGAAGACCTCTTTCTGGTCGGTCGTCAACTGGTGGCACCAGCTCGTTCTTGACGACGTCATTTTCGTCATTCACATAGATCACATCCTATATAAAAGAAAATTACTGCTGCGGAGAATTCTAATGTGTAATGTCAAAACGAAGGTGGTGGTAATATACTGGCGAGTAATAACCCCTACTAGGCGTGTAGTCGCATTGTTAAGGCACGATAACCTAGTATTTGCTCAAAAATAGTAGTAGGGACGCTATGTAAACACGGCATTAGACGAGCATGCATTTTTGGACGAATTTCACGTTGGTATCGTGCCAACAACCGCTTTGATGGATACGCCTGCACGTATGTGTTCATACATCCATGTAGCAACGCTTGATATCAATTGTACTTTATAAATGAAGCAATAAGAGTGCCAGCGTCGATGTGACTGTCCGGCCATTTGTGGGCGGGCGGTTGCAGTGGGCGTTCGGGTCGGCATGTTGCACCTTGGTAGGCGCTATAATGGCACCCTTGGTTGGACAAAGGCGCCACGCAGCCCCTGCTTGGGATCACAATATTCTTCGAGCCAAGCGTATTTACCTTACGCCTTGGCGACTCGCCTTTAAGGAGGGGAACGGTTCACTAGGCAGGCAACCCTAATCCCTGCAGACGATAGAGCGTCTGACGAGGACGTGGCTTGGAGCGGAGCTAGAAATCCCCCCTCTCCCACCTGTAGTGGATTCGTGATGCCATTACAGGTAAAAAAACGGCCCCCTGGCTGCGCTCCATTGCGCGCCGCATCACATACCCTACTGTTTGCAGGCGTCGTGACTGTAGTTCAGAATCGCTTCGAACGTTACAAATTGATTTAAGCACCGATCAAACCCCGTATCTGACTGCGAATATCAAATAGCGTTTTTTTTTCTCAGTGAGTGAAAGTAGCGCATTATATGGGAAAGCGATTAATCAGTGTTCAAGATTTAGACTGAAAATGCAGATCATCTCAAAAACATGAAGGCTGAGCGAAATTGGCCCTACATAGCGACTTTCAAGGGACAGTCAACAATCTCCTGAAATGCCTCCCATAAGATTTTACTCCTTGATTGGAACGACGTAACAACCTGAGCAGGATCTCATCCATGGCACTACAGCAAGGCGTTCATAACCACCACGGTACCTCCACTTCGAAGATTTCACTCAAACAAAGGCTCCACAAGCTTTCTTGATCATTGCTAATGGAGGTAGATGGTCTAGCAGGAAGTGGCTACTACGCGCGTGGTCTGCGGTCAAATACTGTGCCGGAAACTCACTGCCTCTGAGGTCCGTAAATTGACCTCGTCTGGGCAGCATAAAAAGTGTCTTGTATACCTTGTGCACCGGCTGGGCCTCTTTGTAACCCATGGCGCATTCAACAGGCCCTTACGATTCCGAATGATCAATAACCAATGGGTAAAATGAGTGGCGTATTCCGAAAAGGGATTGATCAACGGAAAGGTACCTCATATTGCCACTGATCAATCCCTTACGCCTTATCCTCAGGGTACAGCATCGTTGTGTGAAGCACGTAGGAGGGGGTCATACTTTTCCTCTGAAAAGAGGGGTCGTATTTGGTCATTGGGAGAGAGAGAGGTCGTATGTGCCTTTGAGAGAAATGGGTTTTCGGGTTGTTGACTTCTTGCGTGATTTCCTGTTTCATGTGCACTATATGCCCCCCTCCATCCACCCTCCCCCCTCCCGCCGCTTGACGGAGAATTTTTGGGTGAAAAACTAGAAACGTGGTGGGGAACTTGGGTAGGGGCTGGGGAAGGGGGGGGGGGAAGGGAGGGTCGCACCTACACCACCCACATCACGATGCTGTACACTGCTTCTCCTTTCCGCATACATCATATCAAAATTCCCAGTACCTACATTTTGTACTCCAAACAGAGGTTTCTGACTGATGGGCCCGAGAAAGCCTGGTTTGACACCTATCAATAAACTTATCTCTAGAACACGTCTCATCTACAGGATTTGAGTTCTAAAGCTTTCAGTAGGCTACAGTCAGAGCGCTTCGGC